CACACACACACACACTTCATTCTTGAAGTATTTGATTATTTACTCTACTGTTTTTCTAGTATTTTCTTTTTCCTACGGGTTTTTCCTTTTTTCATGAAAAATTGTGAACGAACATATGAACTCTCGCTCAGTAAAGAGAGTCGTAGATTCGTAGAAGAGGATCAGAGTACGCGTGCTACAAAAGGCAGCTAGCCAATGTATGTTTGAACACACACTTTTAAAGAAAATATACGACATTTCTTTAAAATACATGACGCTTTAAAAAATACCACAAACATTTTTATATTTTGTGATTTTTTTAATATGTGCAAAAATCTATGTAAATAGATGAATTGTTTTTATTAAAAACGTTTGATAATGCTTGAATACTTTTCAAAAATACATATAAATGATTTTTAACTACATGAACAATTTTGAAAGTGTGGACACTTTTTACAATTCATAAACACTTCTTTAATTTTTATGGACATTAAAAATTATGCAGAAATATTTTTAAGTTATGTGAATACTTTTTAAAATATCACGACCATGTTTCAAATTCACTAAAATATATGAAAATATATTTTTAAGTATATGTGCATAATTCAAAATATCACAAACGTTATCAGAAATACCTAAACATTTAGTTATTGTTTAGGAAAATGAAATAAAAAATAAATAGAAAAAGGAAAAGAAATCTTAGTTAACCTATGCTAATGAGCCGACTCAATATATAAGGTAGCGGGGGATAGTGCTATTGGACGCTCTAATCGTCATATAGCAGCCCTTGCGCTTGTGTGTGCGTTGCTGGAGGCGTGCTTTGCTCTATGGTTAGGACATGTGTGAATGGCCAACCCTAAAAAAAGTGTGAATTTCCCACAAAAGACATGTCATATGTAATTAACGATGCCTTCTCGTCGCGTCTAAACTCTTTCTTCAGTTAAAACAAAGGACAACACCACAGCAAAGAAAAACACCAATCACAATAACATAACTAAAGTCTGTAACCCACCGACCAGCCATGGTCCTGGTGCGACCACAGGAAAAAAATGGAACCATGTACAAAGAACGATGCGGCAAAGCGTGCGACATGTTCTAGTTAAAATAGTAAGCTACTTAATTTAGAGCCTCATAGTGTATTGGGGGTTGTGGGAGACACTACGGCCTCCGCGTGTAATGGTGTGTGCCGATGAGCCAGCCATTTTTTCTCGTTTTGAAAGGTATGGCTTAGATTTTTTTTGTTTTCTGCATTTTAAACAGCTTTAGTAGTTTTTCCCCTTCTTTTCTGATTTTTTTGTTTGTTCTTCCTTTCTTTCATATTATTAGTTTTCTTTATTTTCCGTATTTTCACCGATTTTATTAGTTTTTCTTTTGGTTTTTTATTTCTTTTTTCTTCTCTTTTTATCTCTCAAAATTACTTTTCACATGTTAGTCCATAAATATTTATTAAAGTCGTAAGATTTAAGAAAACTTATGAACATTTTAAAATTTCATGAACATTTCTAAAGTCCATGAATTTTTTAAATTTTAAAACCCCTTTTCAAATTTGTAAACATGATTTGAAATCCACGAAAAAATGTAAATTCATGATATTTTTTTCTCAATAATTCACATTTTACATTGGTAGATTAGCAATGGAGTGGCAGAAAAAAATGGCTAAAAGAGCGAGTGGAGTTAGGGAGCCGGGCTGAGCAAGCGAGAACTTCGTGGGCCGACCTACGTAAAGGTTATGGCAGCAATTCCATGGTTTCAACATAGAATAAGAACACCCAAGGGCTCACACAACCACTACCGGTGGATACTAGAGTTGAAACTGTAAGAACCTCCCATCCACGCATTTAACAAATCCACTTTTCTCTCGGAATAAATATCATCTTCAACAACAATCCAACATGATATACGACTGACGAAAAAATACTCCATAACATCATTAAAATCCAAGCCAACATAGATAAAATCAAAAGGTAACAACCAACCGTAATAATCTGCTAGAGAAAAAAGTGTTAATCCACAAATGAATGAAAAACAGTGCGACAAAGCGAATGTTTGCCTCTAGTGGTATAGAAGATGTTCACAAACAGGCGGTCCCCATCGAACTTTGACAAACTGAATAAAAGTAGATAAAATCCACATCTCAAATTTACTGAGAGGTTTCATTTATTTATTTTACTTGGGAGAGTGGAAGGCGACTAGAGTTCCACGCGCTCTGTCAGTATCAGCTCGCAGTATTCAGAACAAATATATACCCTAAAAAATCCATCCAGAAGATATAGAGAAGAAACGACATGGAAAAGAGCTGTAGTATGCCAGAAGAAACATTCAGAACTTCATATATCTTCCGAAATATTCAAGTCTAAGTATAGCTGCAAACATGCTGTGGTAGGAAAATTAATTAATCATCCATAACGACAACATTACTATTAGTGTCATACCGCAATTCCACAGATACATAGCATAACAGGTAGAATACCATTCGATTGTTCTGCTAAAACCTACAACATACAGATCATAGCTTCACTGCTAAGTAGTAGCGCCACAATGGCTGTCAATAGAGTGACCACGTCTCAGAATGAGATAAACTACTAGAGGTAAGAACTAAGAACTAACGCACCCTTCCCATATGCAAATGAGTAGCAAAACTTCCTAGTCATTGCCCCGAATAGGGTATCAAATATACAGCGGTAACCTAACATAGCGGAACATAGTTCTAGCGAGACACCGAAACGCCGATTATACCATAGGGTTTGGACCCTGATTAAGGGCATAGGATTTCCCTGCAGCAAGACAGTTCAGCCCAACAGTTTGGCACTTTCAGAGAACTTGGGGGGGAGGCAGATAGTACAGGTAACCTTAGTGCCTTGTTGCATTAATCACAGCTTTGCTCAAACCGAGGGGAAGAACTTGTTGAGGTTGAACGGCAGGGAGTAGAACTCCTCGCTCCTTGTGTCGGTCCGGTACGACCGGAACTTGTCCCACCAGTGGTATCCGCGGTCTTTCCTGACAGCGCCGTCATGCCTGTGTAGCGTGTTGTCCAGCACGTATGCAACAATGCCACCAACGAAAGCCTTGGACGAGAACAGCACATTCACCATGTCGTTGAACTGTGGAAGTTAGATGAAACAAACGGTCAGTGTCCGTTCACAGAGGAAGCAAGCGTGATCGATTGCACTGCTACGTACCCATCTTGCACGCGTGTGCACAGGGCCGAACCCCGCAACGGACGTGTACTCGTTGAAGTACTGTGGAACTGAAAAGCCCATGAACACAGAGAACCCAAGGATGAACTTTGTCCTGAAGCTATTGAGATTGCAGAACTGAAGGAAGCCAAGCCCAGCAGAACCTGTTAACAGATTAATCCAGAGCTTCTATCAGAATACCATTTTTTCTCTCATATGTACTCCCTCCGATCCAAGTGTCGTGGTTTTAGTTCAATTATTTTGGATCGGAGGGAGTAATTTTTTTGCAATTTAAATGGAAATCGTAATGAGTGATCTGAAGATTTTCACCCACCAACGTATGCAAAGAAGACGCAGTAGAGGGCTGCAAAGATGGGTGCAGGTATTGATGCAAAGACAGCTCCAAATTTTCCTGGGAAGACACAGGCAATTGTTCTAGGTCAGAGCTAAGTTAACTGCAAATTGTAATGTCAACCAGCTCTGAATATATGTTATTGTGCTAAGCATTATAAGCAATATTACACTGGTAACAGGTAGTAAAATACGCAAGTGAGAAGGCACATTATCACACTTCACATTTCCACAGTTTCCACACAACATACACAGAAGCTCTTCTAATCAAGCATGAAACATGCATCGGTACAGCCCAGACACTAGAAGCAAAATAACAAGCTACAGAACTGCACCAAATAAACAGCCTACGAAATACAATGATGCAACATACGACATATAAGCAGGTCAATTTGGGAATTACTAAATATGCTACCTATACTGACCTACAGAATAATCAAAATACCAGATTCATAGGAAGCAAACTTACCAAGGATAGAGAAGAATATCATAAAACCAGCTGATATTTGCACTACTCTTCGGCTACCAACACGTGTCAAGGCTAGCAACCCAGCATTTTCACTGCAAAGAAGCATAATGGTTGCACAACGTTGATACGAATAGTGGTTGATGCATCAAATGGAAATAAGGTGCATTCCTAGGTATTAGTATAAATTATATGATGCTTACATCGATACAGAAGATCCATTTCCAGTTCCAAATAGCCCATCCAGAAGGATACCAACACCCTGTAGCAAGAAGAGTTGCATACGCATCGAGTGAGTTCAAAGTTGGAGATTGATCTAGTCAAGCCTGGCATGTGGCGGATGCAAAGTTAGCACATACCTGCCAGCCAACACCACGGCTAAGTACAGAGGGTGGGAGAGGTGTGGCACTTGCAAATCTTGAAACAGCAATGAAGGAACCAGTAGACTACAAACATAGAAGTTAGGAGATTGATTATTTCATTATTTAAGAAGATCAAGTGAGTACAAATAGAGGGTGGAAAACTGGTACTCGGAGGGGGGGGGGGTCGAACCTCCACCAGAGCAACAAATGATGCAGCCATCATGGCAAAAGCTTCGCCAGCATCAAAAGTTGGAGCACCCCACTGGAAGGGATATGGTACTCTTATCCTGTCATTATAGTAGAAGAAACGGAGACATTCGTATTACTGAACAGGCAAGGCTGGTGCAAATGGAACAAGCATATCTTCAGAAAAACAAAACAATACCAGGGGGCACCACCAATTAGACCAGAGCGGTCAGTGCGGCAATGAAATTGGGTCTTTGGTGAAACATTCCTGTAAGCTCCTCCAACCGTCAGCAGATATGCATAGAGCCACACTATGGGAATAGTGAATAGAACAGCAAACCGGTCGAAGATAGACTTCATCATATGTATAGTATGGGGCAGGTACTGCAAAAATGAAAGGGTATGGGGGCGTAAAAATGCAGCTGGGGCACATAGTTATGCTGGGTAACAAAAGGTTAAAAATATTGAGTGCATAGGAATTGTGTCAAACCATAGCAAATATCACCAGGAGGATCAGTTCAGGCAGACCAATCTCAACACATTTAGCGACCTGTGTATTTGTTGTTCAAACATAAGTATGTATGATTAAACAAGTATCGAGTAGAAACACAATTCTCAGATCTTACCGATGGAAAACCCAGCTCATACAGTCCAAAGCCAACTAACGCTATCAAAGGAGCAGCTGATAGTGGACTGAGATATCTGAAACAAAATCAGTATATTCATGAGATTGAAAATTAAACATGCTATTCCTGCTAGAACACTTTTTACTTCGGTGCCTCTGAAACAGCAATTGAGTTGAGACATAACAATTACGCATTGTTCATCTTCCTACCTGGCAACATTACGCCAAAGGCCACTGAAGCCAACTATGATCTGTAGTGCAGAAGCAACGATCAAAGCACCTTGTGTTCCACGCATGATTTTGAGGAATTTCTTTAAAATCAAAATCCAGGTGACTCATCAGTCTACATGTAGGAAAAGATTACTGGGAAGCAAGTACAATTATCCTTATTTTCAACATACAGTGTGTGGATCAGGTTCGTTCGTGTAGCGTCCTGCAAGTATGATCGAAATGGTGGGTAGAACAAAGGTGTAAGATCCACCAATCACTGCAGGCAATCGGGTACCAAAGAAACTCTGTAGGAGGGTGTTGATTCCAGCCACAAAGAGCAATGTCTGGATAACAACTGCCTTGTCCTCCTAACAAAGTTAGAAACAGTCATCAATCGACAGATTGATTCTCAATAAAAAAAATCGACAGACTCAGTCCAAAGCAACAGAACTTGGTAAACTGGTGTAGCCTTACATTGTTTCCTCCCATTTGTGGAACAAGTGCAGTAGGTATGATAACAGTAGTTCCCAGCATCACCAGATAATGCTGAAAGCCAAGGAGAATGGCCTCCGCTGCATTATGTAAAATTTCATAGTCAAAATTTCAGAACTAAGTTTCTCTCTGATCACATATAAGTTAAACAGAATATAGTGGAAGTGTATAGATAAACTATTTCTCTAGCAAATTTTTCCTGCTTTCTATAGATATACTTCGCAAGGCTAGCAAAAGATTAAGTTAATGGATGCAAAACAAAAATATAATTGCCGATATGACCACATCATCCAGTCAATATTCTGAACAAAAAGGACTTCTTGTTCATCATTTGTCCATGCAGAGCATTCAACCTTACAACTACTCCCATGTAAACATCACTCCATTCCATAATATAGTGCGTGTAGATTTTTTGAAAAGTTCAACTTTGAACAAATTATTAGAGGTAACTATTCATATCTACTCCCTCCGTCTCAAAATTCTTGTCTTACATTTGTCTAGATACGGATGCATCTAACACTAAAATGTAACTAGATACATCCGTATTTAGACAAATCTAAGACAAGAATTTTGGGACGGAGGGAGTACAATACAAAATATATATAATATGGAAGTTCATCTTATAATGAATCTAATGATATAAGTTTAGCATTCTAGATGGAAATGTTTTTCTCCACAAATTTGGTCAAAGTTTGCGATGCTTGACTTCTCAAAAATTCTATATGCACTACGTTATGGAACAGAGGGAGTATGTGTCTTCGAACTCAGGAGGTATGAGCAGTAATTCAAGATAGGAAGACATAAAAGGAACTAACAAGGACCCCCCCCCCCCTCCTGCATACAGAACTCAGGTTAGGAAGGGTACACATTAAATGCATAAAGAAGATTAGGATAATATAAATGTGATTCTCTTTATTTACAGTGTCAGCCTTACATGTGTGGATTTGACTCGGTTCAGACACAGACAAGGGACTCAGAACCAAACAAGAATTCGCTCTTCTACAAAACGGATCATATTTATTACTGGTACTATCTGTACTGCAGCGCCCATGCACATTGCATTAACTAAAACAAAGCTGCTTGGGAACAAGCTCTCTAAAACAGACAAAGAATGCATGATATGATAACACACAAGGTAGAAAATGGAAATGCCCCTGCCAAGTAACTGAAGAATCAATGCAGGTGCTGAAAGTGACAACGATGGGCGGACATGGACCTCCGGTTTGGAACCACCTACCGACACGGTCCGTGCCTAGGATGCATGCACTGGATGCGCAGCACGGAACACGCCAACTAAATATAGAAGATAGATTCGCAACAGTATATAGTAACAAAAACGAACGCCCGGTGCACGCGGTAAAGCTGAAACGAGTCAACGCGTGAGTTCATGTGAATCCAAAGATTAATTACTACCGACAAAATCGCAAATATAGCACCAGATTTCATGGAAACTCGTAAGAATCGAAGTCACAAATCATGTTGACGCTGACTCAAGTCAAGGCGACAGCGAAGCTGGAACGCAGATTCAGAACCAGTCTGCGACTGGACTTGAGCATCAAAGGCGGTAAAAACAACCAGAAAATCCATCCGAAACCCCCATCCGACAATCATGCAAATTCCTTGTGTGTTGAATGTCGAGTACGCGCATCAGCACGGGTCAAAGCTTTGCAGCAGCAGCAGTTATTAGATAAACTAAACTAAGCAGTGGATATTCAACGGGGCACCTCATTAAAGCGCATTAATAAACTACCAGGGGAACAAAACGGAAAAGGCAGTCTGCTTTTTATTTTTGGAATATCCGCCGGGAAGCAAAGCTCGGGCAGATAGATCTGGCGGCGGTTCCTCGCCGCGCAGCAAGCTGGAGCGAGGCGAAGCATCCAGGAGCCCATCCACCAACCACCGAGGCCACGAACACGAACCCACCACCCCCGAAAACGACGGGAGCAACGGCAAAGTTCGTGATGCGACCAGCAAGCAGCCCGTCGCCATCGCAACCGGAAAACCCAGCCCGAGAAACCCCGAAACGGACGCCCAAAAAAACCGCCACCGCCGGCGAGGGACGGACGAACGGGGGAGCACGTGGGAGGAAGGGAGGGAGCGGGAGCACTCACGCCACGGTGGTGGACTGGTGATACAGTAGGAGACCCCGGGAAGCTGGTCCTTGACGGGGTGCGGCGCCAAGTCGTCCTGCTTCTGCCCCCCGCCGCCGCCGCCTCCTCCCCCACCTCCGGCCATCTCTCTCGCGCCCCTCCCCTCCGCCTCAGATCACACGCGCACGCGCTCCTCCTCCTCCTCCCGAGCCCCTCCCTCCCTCGCTCAAACCAGAGCCACAATGCGAGCCGCCGCGTGGTGGTAGCGGGGCAGTGGGGAGTGGGGGAGTGGCGTGGTAGCGGTACAGCGGCTTCCAGCGGTGGCGGTATGGTATGGTAGTAGTACCGCTCCCAGGACGCTACCGCTAGCGTGTGGTGCTTGCGCTGGTGGTGGGTCGGAAGCGTAGCGGGGTAGACGGGGAGCGCAGAAGCGGTCAAAAAAGCGATTCAGCACGGCGGTGCAGTGCAGAGGGAGGTGGCAGGAGGAAGCGGTTGTTTTGTTCTGCCCCGCGTCGTCGCCCCCTCTGCTCTGCCTTTGGTTCGCGGGGGGAGCGGTTCACGGCACCGCGCACGCCGACGCAGCGGTCCAAAACCGCATTTACGCCCCGCCTTGTCCTGCGCGTGCGGCCCCTTGCGCCCCACCGCGAATCTCCCCTGTAGCTCCTCCCAGTATCCCACTGTATACTCCTCTTCTCTCTCTCTTCCTCCTACTCGGCGCGGCACGGAGCGGAGGCGATGCTTCTGCGTGGTTGGTTTCTCCGTTGGGAGCTGGCGGTGAAACCGGGTGTATTTTTGGAGTTTACGGTGTATAGATAGATACTACTCCGTTGGGAGTAGATGGATAGATTTGGGTTCCGTTTCCTCGCCCGGGCTTTGCGGCCGGCGACGTGCCCGGAAACGTGATTCCATCATGGATTGCGCGTGGAGAAAGGGGCTTCTCCCTCCGCCGTGCCTGCCCCGCCCTGCTAGTCCCACCGCCACAGTGGTTTACCTAGGGGAGCTAAGAGGGAAAACGGAGGGTGAAAGCCGTGTCGACCGGCTGAATTATTGTGCCTGTTTCGGGCGAGGCTAGCAGGAGACGACTAGCGGTACCGTACCACCACCCTACAGGAGGAGGGAGGGAGGTGCTCAGCCGGATGGATGGGCTCCCCCCCTTCTCACTTTCCCGTGCCCTGCTCCGACCGAGGAGATGTGAAAAGAGAGAGAGCAGCAGGCAGGGACGGACGTACTAGTACAGTACAGGGATGATGCTTTTGACTGGCTGTACGCAAAGCCGCGCCGCCGTACGCACCCCCTATCATTGCGCTCCTCCTGCCCACTCGCCCTTCCCCATCCCCGTTTTACTGCCGCAGCAGCATTTTCGTTCGCTTTTTCCCTCGCGCTCTCTCTCTCTAGACGATGATTGGATTAGTCACGGACGCACAGCGATCCAACCCGCGGGCAGCCCCACGGCACGGCATGTACTGCATTATTCCCGGCCCTCTTGTTTATTCCTGAAACACCGTCGTGCAAATCTAATCTAATCTACAGGGAGCACATGCCGCTGCTGCTGCCGCCGCCCGCTGGCCATCATCCGACTGCAGCTCCACTATACTCTACTTACCGTGAGCAAAGTGCATGTGATGATGGATACTTGACCACCCCCTGTGGTCGTTAACCCCGAGTAGTTTAATTACTCAGGTTTTCCCCGGCAAAAAGAGAGGCGCTGCTGGGGTTTAGCAGGAGCAGCAGTACGTACCACAGAGTGGGCATTGATTGATTATATTAGGGGAAAGTGTGTGTGGAGATCTCGGCCGTGCAATGATTCACTTGAAGCGATCAATGAAGGGCTGGCGGCAGCTTGGCATGTGTAGGAGGGAGGAGCTCCTTGATGATGATGAGTAGGCAGCGCAGCGCAGTAGTAGTAGTACTACTACAGGGGAAGGAAGCAAAATGGGACAAGCGAGGGATACCCGACCGACTGCTCGCAACCTGAAGGAGTAAATGCTACGCAGTGAAGGATGTCACGCCAAAACCCTCTGCGTTCATGTCAGTTTTGTTTATTACGGAATTGATTACGGAGCGTGATAAACGCGCAAGGCGGTCAAACGTTATTGCGGGGGGTACTGCCGCCCCGTGCTCGCGCAAAGCCGATTTTAGGGCTGTGCACGCAGCAAAGGTGTCGGGAGTAAAGGCACGGCTGGGCTGGATGCGGATTCCCCTCTTGCGTTGGGGGAATCGAACCAGAGC